CAACTTCGCAGTGATTGACACTAACAGTTGTAAAAGTGCCTAGAGACATACCATATTTTCTGGACTACTGATTTTTATAGCAAAGCAGTATTAAATAATATAATATATTTTTTCATTAGGTTAACTGTAATACGCCCACATGCTACTCCAGCAGTTTTAGGCAGGTTGTGTATAAGCATTGCTGTTAGCTTGGCACTCATATAACATTACAAAGTCTGCTACAGGACTGGACAAATCATAAATTGACTAGCTTCCACAGGAGGTGAGCGAAAGCTCCAATATGCTTCCCAGTCCCATGTTTCATTTGTCGAGAACCTAATTAACGAAGCTAAAAATGTTCTATCTTACATCATTTACCCCAATTCCAAAAATAACACTTAGTAACACTTACTTTTCCAGTCTTTTGTTGCCCCGTCCCGACTTTTTTGAGACGTGTTACTGCCGTCAAATTCAAAATTACCTTTTTTTTTCTTTAAAATGGTACATTTTTTCAGTTTAAACATTTGGCATGTTTTCTGTTTTATTGTGAATAACATGTGGGTTTATGAGATTTGCAAATCATTGCATTCTGTTTTTATTTACATTTTACCCAGTGTCCCAACTTTTTTGGAATTGGGGTTGTACCTCAAAAGTATGACTAGCTAAGAGCAGTATGGAAAATGAGCACTTGAAGCTCTGTGAACAGGACAGTTTATTTAGCGTTTTCTTCTCTCCTGATGATGTTGATCATGGAGATATAGCATAATCAACAAAAAGGCATTTTATGATGCAGAGTATCACAATGAATTGTACCAAAAATATGGTGAATAAATACTCATTAACGTTGTGTGTGTTGCTCTCAACAGCTTCCAATGCGATGTCGGTGCGGCCGCAGCACGCTGACCCAGCGCTGAGCTCTCAGAGGTTGGTAGAGGAAACCGAGGGTGAAGTGGCGCCCCTATACACCCCCTGGCCCCCCAGTCGCCCGCACACACGACAGGCTCGCAGCCACTCCATAGGACAGCTGAAGTTCCTGCCTGTACCTCTCTTTCCTCTTCTCTCTCTCATCCCTCCATCACTTCTCCTCTCCTGCCGTTGCACTCTTCTTCCTCTGGCTCTCGTTTCACTGGCCTGCTCTACCGCTCGTCTATTTGCCACTCTGTGGAGGCGGTGCTCGGCCTCCCGCCCTTGGGGTTCACTGCCACATGGCAACACCAGAGAGCTGATAGCAGCGGGTAGCTCACACTTTCGCAGCAGGGTGCAGCTAACCGTTCACGTGTGACACACAACTAGCACTGAGATTGAGGCTTAAATGCTGTTAGGAGCAATGCTCTGAAGTGGCATCAACACCCGGAGTTCTGCATGTTTCTGTATAATGAACTACTGCAGTAGTGCTGTTATTCAGGCAGTAGAGAGAAAAATGAAAATGTTCATCCATATAGAGTGAAACAATAATAATATTTGCAAGCAAATTAAAGGTAACTCAACAATAACATTTGGACAATAACATTAACATGGTGGTTAAACTAACAGGCTCGTAATGCACTAATGAAACTCACCTGCTATCCCCTTCATACAGTTTCATGGATGTTTCCCCAAGCATTTTTTTTACATTTTACATCCAGATATATTTAAAGTGATGAACCTTAACAATTTCTCTAACATTTCAGATATTAATGATTATCCGATAGAACAAAAAAAAAGGGATCATTTTTACAGTCATACTGTCCGTCTCACTGGTAGTCACCACATCACTTGTCGTTTGCACAAAGTTAAATTTCATCATGTAATCTGGCCCCGCCTGTTATGCATTATCAGTGCTTACTGCGCCTCCTGTTGGTGTAAATCACCTACTCTTATTTCATTATAAATATCTATTGGCTGTTTTTGCTGCACCAAATTGCCAGCAGTGTGTTTCTCTTTTTGTTCCTGCTATACTGAAAGTCATCTTAGACGTCTAAAAGTCAGAGGTGTCAGGCCAGATTAAGTATTTCAGCCTCATACACTCACGTTGCCACTTGCAGCCATCAGATCAATCCATAATGGCGTTAGGGGTTTGGGAAAGTAGCACAACTGATGTTAGAAATGTTCTTCTGTGAACTGTTTACACTTACATACCTTTAGCATAGAGGTCACCAAATCCCCAAAAGTTGCTTATTGCCACTTTGTCACTTTCTCACTCTCCCTGTTGAAGCTTATTCTTCTAAAAAACCCTACTTACTTACATACTTTGTCCTACTATTCAATATTATTCAGTACTATTCAATATTGTTCACTACTATTTCATCTCAAGGTATGCAGAAAGTTGATGAGAATATAAAAATGATACAATTTTGCTAACCCCAATGCAGTCGATCAGTAAAAACATTTTTTGCACTTTGGTTAACAACTGAAGTCACAGAAGTTAGTCTTATCCAAGAAATATTTTGTTTTGAATAATTTTTTTCAAAAAATATGTATAATTCCATCCCAAAATATCTAACTCATCCACTTCCTAACTGAACTACTATCCCAAACTATTCTTTAATCCTTTTATTGTTCGTAATATTCTTCTGAATAAACTGAATTATTTTGTCATTTTTAATAAATTCATGCTAATATACTCTATGCCTGTTCAATGTCACACCCAAAACTTCAAATTTCTTTATTAATGCTGAATTGCTGAATGTCAAACACATAATAAACACTTTTCCATCTCCTTTTCTGTGCAGGGACCTGAACCACTCGGACTCGGACTCGTCTCTGTCTCTGTATCAATACGGTGAGACTCAGCGTGGTTCGTCCACAGCACTAGGCAATAGGTCCACCTTCTCCCGACCTAACGGGGGTGGAACCGGCTCAACTGAAAGTCCCATCTTCCCGAAGAGGACCTTCGGCATGGAGAAGTGCGCCAGCCTGGGAGAGATCCACACCCAGTCCAGCTGCATGAGCTCAGCCACATCCACACGGTCCCTCAACACTCCACCGGGAGACATAGACGGACGTGTAGGAGGGAAGAGCAGCAGAGGCAAGAAGAGCCCAGGGGAAGAGGACAGCGCCTCCACAGGGGAGGACGCCGATGTGTCCAGCTCCAGCCGCAAGAAGAATACCTTCTCCAGACTCTTCCAAAAGCAGAAGCAAAAGAAACAGTAGTGATGTAGTAAAAGCATAAAAAGATTTACATTCAGAGGGACGCTATATTCTAGAAATATCAGTACTGTTATATAGGTATAAGGGAGCATCTACTGTATGATATTTTTTATGATTCGGTTTATAGAGTGATTGTATCATCTTACGGGAACAAATGTATTAGCCTTTTACAGAAATGTGTGATTTTTGTGTAAAAATAATTTATTCTACAGATAGCACTTGCTAGTTACCCAGTTTCTATCCATATCCATGAATTCATGTTTTGTTTTTCTTTTATTACAAGCTTCTTGTGCCATCTGTTTACAGGCCTGGATACAGTAAAGAGTTGTGAAACGTAAATGTATCATAATTGTGCATAAAAGTAGTTCATTCAATTTAAAGAGCATGATAACATGCACAGACAAACTACTACAGTCTATGTTCTGCTGTAAATTGTATTCCTTTTTTTTCACCAGACATATACGAGCAACAGATAGTCAGTTGGAAATGTTAGACTGATCTATTCTTTATAAATGCACAAGCACAAATATTCTACAACTCTTATATATGTACTAACAACTTTTTTTTCTTTTTGTTTGGTTTAAGAAAGCCTACCCACTGTAGCCTTCTGTGTAGATTCCTGTTCAGGAGTGGAACCTGTTATAACCCATCTGCTGTGAGGTTCCACGTGTTGTGCATTCTGAGATGCTTTTCTGCTCAGCTTGGTTGAAAAGAGTGGTTATTTATTTGAGGTACCGTAGCCTTCCTGTCAGCTCGACTCAGTCTGACTATTCTCCTCTGACCTCTCTCATTAACAAGGTTTCTGCCTGAAGAAACACTGCTTGCTGGATGGTTTTTGTTTTTATCATCATTCTGCGTAAAACTCTTTAGACGGTTGTGTGAAAATCCCAGCAGGCTCTGAAATACTCAAACCAACCTGTCTGGCACCACCAACCATACCACAGTAATGGGGTGACATGTGGTTGACCTGTATGTGTATGATTCTATGTGTTGTGCTGCTGCCACATGAATGGTTGATTAGAAAACTGCATGAAGCAGCAGGAATACAGATGTTCCTTTTAAAGGAAGCCTAATTCATTAATTAATACATATTCTGATGTATTTTTGAATTATTTAATTCCTTCAATAAACATTTGAAAAGCATGCCTATATAAAGCAAAAGCAAAACTACAGCACTTACACCATAACAGTAAAGGTTTCATTACCAGTGAGCTTCAAGTGAACAGGTTTTCTGTTCAGAGCCGCATGTTGAACTTCTTGCTCATGCTAATAGCACACATACTATAGCTGCACTAGGTGGTGAGCAGGTTGATAAACACTGGAGTACTGTACGTGTTTAACAGGATGCAGATACAAGTACAGGCAGATTCCATCAACCCTTTCACTTCACACCTTTATATAAATGTGGACTGAAAGTTGTGCTTTAGAATTTTAATAAATCTATTTATTCATGATACGTTGTATTTTACCCATAGGCTTACTGACTTTAAAATGTGTGTGTGTGTGTGTGTGTGTGTGTGTGTGTGTGTTATATATATATATATATATATATATATATATATATATATATATATATATATATATATATAATTCTTTTGGGTAAGAGTTAATCAGTTTGATATATATATATATATATATATATATATATATATATATATATATATATATATATATATATATATATATATATATATATATATTATATATATATATATATATATATATATATATATATATATATATATATATATATATATATATATATATATATATATATATATATATATATATCAAACTGATTAACTCTTACCGAAAAGATTGAATGCTGTGATAAAGTCCAAAAGTGCTTAGGTAGATAGATACACTTGATTGATCCCACAAGAGCGATCGTGTGTTTCTGCCAGGTTTCAAACAAGGGGCCTTTCGCATGTGAGGTGAATGTGATAAGCACTACACTAAACTACCACTTCAAACAGGTCTTACTTTAGGGATGTGCACATTTATGCAGCTCAGTTGTTGTACATTTTTATTTTTAAAAATTTCCTCTAAAATGATTCTTGTTTTTCAAATTAATTAATATGTTAAAATTTCACAGTAAAGATAGAAAAGACTCTGACATGATTTATCTTAGTGTAATAATTTAACAGGGTGTGTAGACTTTTTATACCCACAGTGTGTGTGTATATATATACACTTCAGCATGTGGAGTCATGCGGGCCAGGAATCAAACTGCCAACCCCATGGATAACCACCTGAGCCACAGCCACCCCATATATATATGTATATGTATGTATATATGTGTGTGTTATATTTATATATATATATATATATATATATATATATATATATATATATATACACACACACACGTACATATATATATATATATATATATATATATATATGGCGGTTCGATTCCCGGCCCGCATGACTCCACATGCTGAAGCGTCCTTGGGCAACACACTGAACTCCAAGTTGCTCCCAATGGCAAGTTAGCGCCTTGCATGGCAGCTCTGCTTCCATTTTTGTGTGAATGGGTGAATGAGACTATATAATTGTAAAGCACTAAATAAGTGCGCCATTTACCATTTGTCATTTATATATATATATATCTCACTGGATATAGTGAAGATGTTTTAAAATTTATGAAAATGTTTTGTCGTAGCTTTCACCTTTAATATGAATATTAATTCACTTTGTGCTGTGTGGTTTTATAAGACAGTGAGCTGGTAGGTTGTTCCATCTGGAATTCCTTCACCTGGAATGGACATGTTTAAACTTGCACTTGTGTCTGTCCAACTCAGACATTCACGTAATCAGACTGGCTTGATCAAGCTGCATCTTGTTTGCACCTACCTACTTTTTTTTTCTTTTTTCCTTTTGTACATTGCACTCTGTCTGACCACCTACCACTTGGATCAGTTTTATACTTTACATAGTTAGCAAAATCCTTCCTTCTCTTTTCTTTGGGAAAAGTATTTCTGTTAATTTCAGCATATTCTATTTAATCTTTTACGTTCTACAAATAATATTTTTTATCATGTTTTAGAACAGTTTCATGTAAAAAAAAACAACATATATATATATATATATATATATACACATTTAAAAAAAAAAGATTAGTTCTGACACTTCTGGCAAATATCTTGTTAGGAGTACATCTGGTTTAACATGATGTTGTTACTCTATAGTTTAGCAGAAATCTTTCCTGACTCATGCACATTTGCTGGCATGAAAGTATTTGTGCCCCATAAGTGCTAGAGGGAAAGTTTTAACCTGCACTCCACACAAGGTGAAGGCTTGTTTGCATCTAATTTGATGTAACCTCACACTGAGAGGCAGTGCTCAGTTCAGTGTATATCCAGAGAGTTTTCTGAAGTGAGACTCACCAGCTATACCAAAGTTGGACATTTCCCAGAGTTCAGAGTAAACATAGAGTATGTCTGTGGAAGAGCTGATGTATCTCATCGTGGGGAAGTGAACTCAGAGCATGTCACATTTCCCAGTGTTTTCAGAGGAAGTTACAATGCCAACTGGTATGTTTTTTCCAAATCTCTGGATAGCATTAGTATGTATTGTAGCTCTGAGCCACATATTATTTAGAGAAAATATTAATAAAAGACATAATGGACCTGAATCTTCATTTAAAATTTAGTCAGTGTTTATGCTCTGAGCACTCACTGAGATAGACAGGTAAAACTACGGACATGAAATAAATACTGATTCGACAAGAATGTTAAACACCTTATTACAAGACAAAAAGACAAACATTTGGAATGTATGGAAAAAAAAAACTTTAATAAATTTCACGACTTTGTACTCAACACAGGGGTGTTTCCTATACAATGTTTTTTAAATACAATTTTATTCAATGTTATTAAGTTCTTAATAGAATTAAAGGACATTATACTGGTTGAATGTCAAAAAATCATAAAAGGCATACTTTTAGTTATACCAGTTGGATAATGTAAAAAAAAAAATCCACTAAAACGTCTATATTTTGCAAGTTTTAAATAAAATACTTTTCAAGTTTGTTTTCCCCTTCTGTAAGTTTTAATTCTTTGGGCCAATTAGAGATATTGATAAAACTGTATTATTTTATATAAACTGTGATATTTTAGTGATACAGTCCCCTTCGAAACTATTGGAACGGCAAGGGCAATTCATTTTTCTTTGCTGTAGACTGAAGACATTCGGGTTTGAGATCAATAGATGAATATGAGAAACGAGTATAGGATTTCAGCTTATATTTCCTAATATTTATATGTAGCTGGAACACGTGACTGAAAGGTGTTTCTTGTTAGCCAGGTGTGTCCTGTTAGTTTCACCTGTGAAGACTTCACGTGTTGTTAAAAAGGATAAGCCAACATAAAAATAAGAGAGCTGCCTATGGGAGAAAAGCAAGCCCTTTTTAAGTGAGAAAAGAGTAAAAAATGAATCAGCGGCATTGCACAAACCTTGGGATTTTGGGACAAACTTTGGAATGCACAATGAGGAATGTCCTGAAAAAGAAAGAAACCACTGCTGTACTGAGCACTGGTATACTGCCCAAGATTTGGCTGGTCTGATACAAAAGGTTCTATTTCTTAAGTTGTTTAACACATGTAGATATAAATACCAGGAAATAAAAGCTGAAATCAACTGTTATCTCATATCCATTTTAGATCTCAAACCCAAATGTCATTGGTGTATAGCACAAACAAATAAATTGGCTTTGCCGTCCCACTAGTTTTGGAGGGGACTGTAAATACTGCTGTTATACTGTATGACATTGCAAACCTTATTGGTCTTGAAGCAATATTTATTTCCTTATGAATTACTGATTCGTTTTCCTTGTTATTGCGATTTCCCACCATATTATCGGGGTCTGACACACACTGTGTACAGATCGTAGCTCACAGTTAATTAGCATCTACAGAGGAAAAGGGAAATAACCCTATGTTCACACTAAATTAACATAGTGGCCTTTTTTTCTATGTATGCATGTGACCTGTCAAGCAAAAAGGCAACTGCGAATTTTCTAAATTCTACGTAAATTACCTGGCACAATGAAGCAACAAATCTGCAGCAAAAATATATTTTTTAAACGGCCTCGAATGATTCCTCGGACCAAGCCGCGGGTGTGTGTGTAGTATGACATTCCTTCAGTTCCACACTCAGAACGTTAATTCCTACCTGCAATTCATTCCCATTTACTGTTTGACATGCAGATATGGTTTAACCGTATGTGGTTTCATCTTATCCTGTCATTTACACTCGCTCACTAAATGTGTACTGAAGTTTTAGGAACAAAAAGCTTGGAAGGAAGTAACAGAGATGGTCGACTATACGTTTTGACATTTTGGCTATTACAGTTTGTCATCAGAGCTATATACATACATATATATATATATATATATACATATATATATATATATATATATATAATATAAAATAAAAAAACACTGGACAGTGCATGTCCAAATGCAGTCGCTACAAGAGACAAACGACTAGCAACACAAGCACTTGCTAGTGTGAACACAGGGTAAGAGCCTCTGTCCCTCCCAGACAGCAGGGTCGAATATGCTCCTCTTCGACCCATGGCCTAGCGGTGGGATACAAATTCAATTCTCAATGGCAGGTTGAGGCCACTAGGATGCCCACCCTAGTAACATATTACTCCATAAAATATATATTTGAATAAAATGATCATAAAAAAACTGGCTGATGGTTTGGAGGAAATATAACCTGTCTTTATTTTTAAAAAATCCCCATTGGGGAAGCTTTTACTGCTTTCTAGACAGTGACCATGGTTGAAAGTATAAACCAGCGAGCACTTCTCATGCCTTTTCGGAGAACTGTCACCAAAAACAAAACTCATTTCCAGCTTTGTCGAGTTCCTTTAAGGAAACAGGCACCGTCAATGCACTAAACATATCGTGCATTTTATATTCAGTACATATTTTTGGTCCCCAGACAGTGTGAGTTTCGACATTCATCCCCTTTAACAGAAAGGTTCAGTTCAGTCTCCTCACACTGGTGCAGTGTTAAGCTTCACTCGTATCCCAGGCCATCGCAGTGAAGTCCAAATCGGTCAGGTTGACGGTGTAAGGTCCCTCCACTCTCTCAGGCTCTGCGCTTTGCTCCTGATTGCCATTGCTCTGGTTGTTGTCTCGCCAAGAGTTCAGCGGTCGGATGGCTTTCTGGAAGCGCTGAAAGAGAGGGGGACACGGGGAAGCTTAGCTTATATGTGTTTCATTATTCAAAAATTTGATCATGTTGTTTTCTTTTTTGTATCATAGGTTTGTCACGAATGAAGACTCACTTCCGTCATGGTGCCAGACTCCTTCCAGACAGCCACGATGGCCCAGATGGGGATCTGCAGGCAGCACACAACGCCCATACATACCCCCAGGCCTTTGCCCCACGTGGGGTACTGATACGAGCCGTAATGCAGGGACGTTCTGTACATCTCGATGAAGATGTAGGTCAGGATGAACTACATGAGGTAAAATACACAACATTTCACAATGAGTCTATACAACAGACCTGCACGTCATTAATAGAATGAGTAGGAAAGCAGGGAGATAGAATGTCCCAGGTACACTACTAAAATATTTAACACATGCTGACATGGTGTTTGTTTCAAGCCTCAGTCAGGTGCATGTTTATTTCTGCTCTGGTTCAGAAGGGTAGGACCTCTGTCTGCTTGCTTTGGGGTAAACAAGCTAACTGGCACATTTAAAGTACCACTGAAGATGTCATTTTAACCTATATAAATATATACACTTTATATAAAATGTCTTTTTTTGGTCAAAACAGCAGTATTCTACGCTTAAAAAGAATGCAATGCCACAATACTGAACAGACATGCAGTATCTAATTGTGATTTCCACCCAAAAAAACCCCAATAAAACAGTCCCAAATGCTGTTCTCACCAGTAACAGGAAGGGCGTGCAGAATACCCAACATGCTTTGAAGTAGAG